TACCATATGTTCAGTTTTTGATAGAACACAGGACCATACACTCTCACATTTTCATTGCACAATGATGTAATTTGCCAAGAGTTTCCCTTTTTTTCTCCAGATCCAGATTGCAGCACTAAATGCAGTGTCTGCGGTTGCTGACGAATGTGAAGACCCCTGAAAACTAAAAAGAGTTGAACTAAAGAGGTTCAGGTATGGTAGTCTTGCTGAGGCACATGGCACTAGCCACATTTGGTTAAACTTTACTTTCAAAGTAGATATTTGATTGTTCTGAATTATTTCCCTGTCTTTCCTCTACAGGAAGCAGAGGCATTTGCTTTGTATCATAAAGCTTTAGATCTTCAAAAGCATGACAAGTTTGAGGAGTCTGCCAAGTCCTATCATGAACTCCTCAAAACCCCATTGCTCAAAGAGGTATCATTCCCTTCAGAGACCCAATGTGTTTCACTGCATATCTTGTTAAAATGATCCAGCACTATAATCCTTTATCTGATTCAACATGTTGTCACACCTCACAGGAAATGCCCTCGGACGACCAAAGGGTGGGTTTTAAGCATCCAGGGCTGATGCTGAAATACTCCACCTTCAAAGATCTGGCTAGTTTGGCTGTGCTGCGGGATGACTTGGGGACAGCCATGGACTTTTATTTGGAGGTAAAATCGTTTACAGAGAGCACAAGTTATGTAACCTATCAGTAAACCATATGACTAACAAGTGTTAAACAAGTGTTATCTTGAAAGAAAGAAATGATCTCACTCCAATACATTTTAATAGAAAGTTAGCAAAAACAGATAAGATCTTGGTCCTCTGTAGCTCAGCTGGTAGAGCACGGCGCTTGTAACGCCAAGGTAGTGGGTTCGATCCCCGGGACCACCCATACACACAAAAAAATGTATGCACGCATGACTGTAAGTCGCTTTGGATAAAAGCGTCTGCTAAATGGCATATTATTATTATTATTATTATCTTGCTACTATGGAAAGGAAAATACATGTCTATTTGTGGAAAAATCACCCTGATTAACTCTTTAGTCATATTCCAGTTTACCTATTTGCTTATGGTATTGCATACACCTAGCAACCTATTTTTAAAAAAATGATATGAGCAAATAATATTCAATTTGATTTGGAATGGCAAGCCAGACAAAATTAAAAAGGCCGATTTTATATAATGAATAGGAATTTGGAGGGCAGAAATTATTAAATATTAAAGCATTAGACCTCATACTAAAGGCGTCAGTCATACAAAAGTTATGCTTCAATCCGAACTGGTTCTCTAGCAAATTAGTAAGAATGTCTCACTCCATGTTCAAGAATGGCCTTTTTCCCTTTATTCAGATTACAACCTCTTACTTTCTTTACTTACTTTACAACCAACGAATTGCAGCATTACTGCAAAAATGGAAAGTGGAAGGGGGAAAAAGTAAGGAACTTGTCTGTCGGCCTTGCATTAAAGACCAACATTGGTTAAAGAAAATTGTGATAAATAAAAAAGTATACCAGTTTAATTTAAGGACCAAAAAATTGACAGCTGTGACAAATAGATTGCAAAATAGTTGGGAAGAGATTTTCAGTGTACTGATTCCATTATGAACTAATACGCAAAACGACGCTTGATTCAAAACTTAGAATTTTTCAATTTAAATTATTATACAAAATTCTTGCAACCGATAGAATGTTTTATTTATATATATGGGGGACACAACCTTCCCAGCTCTGCAGATTTTTCTGCAAAGTGACAAATTCATTAGATAATTTATATTGGTACTGTTAGGGCTGTTGCGGTGACCGTATAACCGACACACCGGTGGTCACGAGTCATGAAGGCAGTCAAATTCCACGTGACTGTTTAGTCACGGTAATTAGGCTTCTCCAAGCTCTGATGCTGCTACTGGTCATTAGTAGCCTACCAAACTTGCTAACTGCCTGGTACTCAGCACTCTATTGTCCCTCTAATCACTCTGACATCAATGCAAAATCTAATCAAACACTTCATTAGAGCTCATGTTGCGCAATATTTCTATAGGCTATGCAATTGTGGGAGAAAACAGAGTGATGGCCGCTACTAAAAAGAGGGAGGATCCCATCAGCTTTCTATAGGCTAGGCCTACTATATTTATTTCTCAACATTCCTAATATTAAGCAGATTGCTTATCTTTACAACAGGAGTATAGCCTACCTGGCTGGCATGAAAATAAACCACAGGGAAAAGCATCCTCCATTCACAATTTAAGTGCATAGATGACATGTATTTTTTCCCACTGCCCGTTTCGATACAGGTGCATGATAATGGTCCATTCTAAATCAAAACAAATTTCACACGTATATGTGAAGACAAGATTAAATCAAGAATAGTCTGATGGGTGACAATATTAGCCTATCACTTGTGAATTATATATTATCACTTGTGAATGATGCCCAGCATAAGAAACAATGCCTTTTTTTTGCGACTTTTTCGAATCATAGACGCACACCTCATGTAGCCTAGCCCATAGGCCTATATGTTTTACAACTTAAGTGGCCAAATAACTTCTTAAAATTAAGCACATTAATCCGCATTACAAGGGGTGTAGAGCCTAACTGGCGTACATAAGCAGCGCGTGAGTTTCAAGTTTGGGGAAGATAATTTTCACCATAAAAATGCACCTTTATAATAAAAGCATTATATGCATAATGACATTTGCGGTCACTTTTGACCTACTACCATGTGCGCATTGCTGCGCTTATAATATGAAGAAATAGCTGAATCGTTTATCAACATTTTAAGCTAAATGTTCTGATCTGTTGCGTCAGCCACATTGCATAAAAAATGTTTTTTTGATGCTAGTGATTGTATTAATTTGGGATCTATCGCATCCCACAACTGTCCCAGACTATGTTTGGAATATTTATTTCTCGCACAGAATAGAATAGGTCGACTTTTGTACTATGGGGGATAGTAGATTGACATAGGCTAGTGCTTTTGCTGTTTGTTAGGCCTACTCATCTTGTTGGCTGACGAAAAGTAAATGTGGACAGTTCTTCCAATATCTTCAATATGCACCTCGGAATTGGATATGGACGCTTTGCACACTCTTGGCATTCTCTCAACCAGCTTCATGAGGTAGTCATCTGGAATGCATTTCAATTAACAGGTGTGCCTTGTTAAAAGTTAATTTGTGGGATTTCTTTCCTTCTTAATGCGTTTTGAGCCAATCAGTTGTGTTGTGACAAGGAGAAACGACAGTCCGTCTCTGCTTTAAGACATGAAGGTCAGTCAATCCAAAATTTAAAGAACTTGAACGCTTCTCTAGTGCAGAATCCAGGAAAAGACCTTCCAAAGTGCATGTAATGTAATTTTTCTCCATGGGACCGACATCATGGAATGGTACAATCAACAATTCCTCTGCGCAAGATAAGTCATTAGTTAACTGCACTCAGATTGACAGTCTAATGAAATTAGCTACAGTTATATTAACATGGACATGATCCCAACATAAAACAACTTTTCAGACTTTGATCATGACGCCGTCATGTACCAGCCTTCCTATGGTTCGAACTTAGTGCAAAAACCACATAAGCACCATAACGAATAACTTTGGGCCAGTACAAAGCAGCGAGCAATGGACAATTTAACCATGAAATCCTTTATTAGGCTCTGGATGTCCACGACATTTGAATCTTTGGTCCCATGCTGCTTTTTGGGTGCTTAATGTTGACGTGGTGAACGATAAATGACCCAAAACACACCTCCAGGCTGTGGAAGGGCTATTTGACTAAGAAGGAGAGTGATGGTGCTGCATCAGATGACCCGACCTCAACCCAATTGAGATGGTTTAGGATGAGTTGGACCGCAGAGTGAAGGAAAAGCAGCCAACAAGTGCTCAGCATATGTGGGAACTCCTTCAAGACTGTTGGAAAAGCATTCCTCATGATGCTGGTTGAGAGAATGCCAAGACTGCAAAGCTGTCATCAAGGCAAAGGTTGGCTACTTTGAAGTTTGACATTTTTGAACAGGTGATGTTGAGATGTGTCTGTTACTTGAACTTTGTGAAGCATTTATTTGGGCTGCAATTTCTGAGGCTGTTAACTCTAATGAACTTATCCTCTGCAGCAGAGGTAACTCTGGGTCTTCCATTCCTGTGGCGGTCCTCATGAGAGCCAGTTTCATCATAGCGCTTGATGGTTTTTGGTACTGCACTTGAAGAAGCTTTCAAAGTTCTTGAAATGTTCCGTATTGACTGACCTTCATGTCTTAAAGTAATGATGGACTATCTTTTCTCTTTGCTTATTTGAGCTGTTCTTGCCATAATATGGACTTGGTCTTTTACCAAATAGGGCTATCTTCTGTATACCCCCCTCCCTACCTTGTCACAACACAACCGATTGGCTCAAACGCATTAAGAAAGAAAGAAATTCCACAAATTAACTTTTACCAAGGCACACCTGTTAATTGAAATGCATTCCAGGTGACTACCTCATGAAGCTGATTGAGAGAATGCCAAGAGTGTGCAAAGCTGTCATCAAGGTTAAAGGGTGGCTATTTGAAGAATCTGAAATATAAAATATATTTTGATTTGTTTAACAATTTCTTGGTTACTACATGATTCCATATGTTTTATTTCATAGTTTTGATGTCTTCACTATTATTCTACAATGTAAAAAATAGTAAAAATAAAGAAAAACCCTTGAATGAGTAGGTGTGTCAAACTTTTGACTGGTAGTTTATGCACAAACTCTTCAGACCTTTTTAGTCTTGGAAGCAAGCGGTCACCTTTTCCCTAACCCTTTTTCTAAACCTAACCGTAACCTTAGCAAGCAGTTGCTTATAAACAGATCGTTTTTTGATAGTATGACCATCTGTAGATAATCTACAGATGGACTATCCGGACTATCCAAGTAAAGTGTTACCTAATTATCTATCATAATCTCCCGTCTCCCGAGTGGCGCAGTGGTCTAAGGCCACTAGAGATCCTGGTTCGAATCCAGGCTCTGTCGTAGCCGGCCGTGACCGGGAGACCCATGGGGCGGCGCACAATTAGCCCAGCGTCGTCCAGGGTAGGGGAGGGAATGGCCGGCAGGGATGTAGCTCAGTTGGTAGAGCATGGCGTTTGCAACGCCAGGGTTGTGGGTTCGATTCCCACGGGGGGCAAGTATGTATAACTGTAAGTCGCTCTGGATAAGAGTGTCTGCTAAATGACTAAAAATGTAACATGTAAATAATATTTTCCAGGCTGTTTGTATTTCATCTGCAAAGCCCTAGAAAATGATTATTGTTACACCAAAGGGCTGGTGTTGAAGGAGAAGGTCTTTGAAGAGCAGCCTTGTTTGAAGAGGGACTCCATGCAAATGTTCCTGAAGTGGTACGGCCCTACTTCTACCCACCTGTCTACTTATCATAAATGTTCGCTATCAAACAGCTGTCCTTATGGTCTTGATCTTGACCTCATGCTCCATGTGGAGGTGGATGAGGAGGAGACCCAGACCATTGTGGAGGAGGCAATGGATCTACGAAGGCGCAGACAGGCTCTCTCTGCCCGGGAACCCAAACCAGACCTGGTGCTGGTCCAACCCATCCTCTGTTTCTCGTGAGTCTTCACATTTACCCCCCCCCCCTTTGTAGTTTCAGGGTAGACAGTTGCTGTGAGTATTCAAACATGTATTTGTTTTTCATTGTGATTAAGGGTAGGAATGTATTGTTTTAATTGACAAAAAGCATTTTGGACTTATTCTCAGGTGGAAGAATGTGGGAGAGATCCTCCTTGCCATGTACAGACATCAGACCAACTGCGAGCCGCCACGCCCAAGCCTGGGCCACAGGATCAACCTGTCCCAGTACCGCGACCCCAACTGCCTCCAGGCCTTACCTCCTGAGCCCTGCCCTCCTGTCAGTGAGATCCAGACCATCCCCAGCAGCAGACCCAGCTCCTCCCTGCCTCCACTCCCTGTCCCTGAGCCATCAGCACTGTCCCAGCCCAGCCCTGTGGTTCAGATCACACAGAACCAGACTGTAGAGGTCACTACAACTACAGCCCCCTCTGATGATCAGTAGCTTATTTTCATCAAATTTAGCATGTCAATTCCATTGATTTGCAAGCATGAACCCATTTAGACAACATTGAATTGACTGGTTTACATTTACATTTACATTTTAGTCATTTAGCAGACGCTCTTATCCAGAGCGACTTACAGGAGCAATTAGGGTTAAGTGCCTTGCTCAAGGGCACATTTACGTCATTTAGCAGACGCTCTTATCCAGAGCAACTCACAAATTGGTGCATTCACCCTATAGCCAGTGGGATAACCACTTTACAATTTTTTTTTTGGGGGGGGTAGAAGGATTACTTTATCCTATCCCAGGTATTCCTTAAAGAGGTGGGGTTTCAAATGTCTCCGGAAGGTGGTGAGTGACTCCGCTGTCCTGGCGTCGTGAGGGAGCTTGTTCCACCATTGGGGTGCCAGAGCAGCGAACAGTTTTGACTGGGCTGAGCGGGAACTATGCTTCCGCAGAGGAAGGGGAGCCAGCAGGCCAGAGGTGGATGAACGCAATGCCCTCGTTTGGGTGTAGGGACTGATCAGAGCCCGAAGGTACAGAGGTGCCGTTCCCCTCACTGCTCCATAGGCAAGCACCATGGTCTTGTAACGGATGCGAGCTTCAACTGGAAGCCAGTGGAGTGTGCGGAGGAGGGGGGTGACGTGAGAGAACTTGGGAAGGTTGAACACCAGACGGGCTGCGGCATTCTGGATGAGTTGTAGGGGTTTAATGGCACAGGCAGGGAGGCCAGCCAACAGCGAGTTGCAGTAATCCAGACGGGAGATGACAAGTGCCTGGATTAGGACCTGTGCCGCTTCCTGTGTAAGGCAGGGTCGTACTCTCCGAATGTTGTAGAGCATGAACCTGCAGGAGCGGGTCACCGCCTTGTTTAGTGTATGCTCTGATAATGCATTTTGTTGTTTAAGGATCAATTTGTGCCCTCACAGCTATGGAAACCTCGCTCACTGAAAAGGAGAAGGAGAAGTTGAAGAAGGCCCCTAAGAGTAGACGCATAATGGAGGAAAACGGAGACACTGCCAAGCTTGGGTCAGAAAGAGCCAGGGCAAGGAGGAGGAGAAGATTGACTTCCAGGAGCTGCTGTTCAAATACCTACCATCCAGGTATTGTCATGAAATTTCAAGGGGAAACTTTCAACACATTGCAAGTATATATTCTTATTGGATGATAACTAGGCTCTTCTGTTCCACTCACACTGAAGAAGTTTGACCTTGAGGATGATGACGTGAGCCTGAGTAACCTGGAGGCCCAGTGTGAAATCAAGCAGGACTTCTAGCTGCTCCATGGCACAAGCGGCATGCCTTTAGACTCTATTAAATACATGGATTCAGGTACATGTCTTATGTAAATAACGCCACGCTGCTTGCTTAGCGAGTACAGCTTCCTCCTGATTCGGTTTATGCTGAGGCTCGAACCCAGGACCTCTGCCTCACAAATTGCATCATGTGACCGCCCTCCTGAAGCGTCTTACCCAGTCGCGCCACCGAAAAGCTACCTATTCGGCAGCGCAAGTGGAGACACTTCAGGCTGAGGAGTGAGTGTCACAGAGCCCCATCTGTAACATTTATACAATCCTCTGACTGAAATGCAGAGTCGATGTCAAACATCTCATGGGATTTACATTGTCTTACTCTTTCCTCATCCCCAGAACAACAGGATGTCCACAACTTCCTGCTCAATAATATGAGCAACGGTGGGATATTAGAGTTGATGATGCGCTATCTGAAAGTGGTGGGTCAGAGGTTCATGGAGGAGTGGCCTCGTGGGCTGACTGCAGTGGTGCTGGAGGTGTATCATAGTTGGAGGAAGCACAGTAGTGGCCTGCCCAACTCTCTACTCTGCAACTGCAGTAATCAACACATACGGGTATGGGACATCTATTCTGACTCTTCTGATTTGTTACTTCATTGACAGTGTTTTTAGTTGAAGTACTTACATCTCTGCCTATGTTTTTTCAGTCCACCTAATGCGAATGTCAATCGGTCTGTAAGAGAGTTGTGATTGGTGTTTTATGCAGGAAATGTTGCTGATGAGCCTATCATGTATGGAGCTTCAGTTGGAGCAATGGTCTCACAGCAAAGGCAAGAACGGTACGTGTCAAACAGAGAGCTGTACTTTGGTATTCCTTAATGAAATATCGGTTTCTGTTGGTTTCTTTCTTTTACAAAAACCATATTGGTGTATTCCTTTCTTCGTTTTTATTGTGAAGGGTCCCCAAGAAAGTGCAGTGGGGGCCAGAGCAGTGTTGTGTGTGTGATGCAGAGTTCTCAGGGCAGCACTTTGAGGGGGACCTGTTACAGCTGGTCCTGGGATCATCACAGGGGAACCTGTTTGAGGAGAACTGGCTGGCCGTGGTGGTGCGTGTTTACTGGCTCAAGGCATGCTTCTTGGCCCTGCAGGTAACCTTCACATTCATCCTGCAACATAATTTACCCCAGTTTCCTTGAATATTTACCATATCACTTGAATATTTGTTTCTAGTATCATACTGAGTTGACCTCTTACCCCATACATCTCACATATTGATTTGTCTTAATCATTGAAACCAATCTGATCTACATTTTCTGATCTACATTTTCTATTGACATGTGACTTGTGACCTCTCACAGGGAGACATGGGCCAGGCCCTGGAGAGCTATGATGTGTGTACAGGCATGTTGCAGAGTCACGCACGGACCACAGAGGAGGACAAGTACACCATCTACATGCCCAACCTGCGTGTGGATGCAGCCATCTCGGTGGAGGAGGTCAGTGGAACGGCTGAACAGTAAAACTATAGCACAAATACTCTATTTGAATAACATGCACTTGGCCCTCAATTGTGATGTATTATTTTGTCCAACCATCCCATTAGAGCGTGTAGTTCCCCTGTGGTTTTGAGTTGTTTGGTTCATCAGAAAGCGTTCCCATCTCCCCATTGCATGGACAGATTGATAAGAAGCTGAAGTTTCTGGAGCGTTGTCAGTCCCTGGAGGAGATCCAGCGTCTGTTTGAGTCTAGGGACTATGAGTCTGTGGTGCGGCTGCTGCAGCCCACCCTCAGCTATGGCTCTGGGCGGGTCAAGCCTCTGGAGTTTGTCAGCTCTGTGCCTGAGAGGCCTTCCCAGCTGCTGCTGGCTCTTTTAGTGTCAATAAGTCTTTCTCTTTGTGGCATCACTACTAATCAGTGTGGTACCAACGTAGGAAAGCGGTATTAAATGCTTAGCACATCGGTACATTCTATAAGCATGTCTGTCAATACTAATCAGTGTGGTAGCGACATGGCAAACCAGTATTAAATGCTTCATCAGTACATTCTATGACATTTTTCCTCTTTCCCTGGCGTCTCTGCCCCAGAACTCCCTTTTGAAACTGAAGGACTACCGTCAGTGTCTGGAGTGCACCGAGGTGGCCCTGAATGAAGCCCTGCAGCAGCTCAACTCTGTCCCAGTCAGCTCTCACCAGGGGTTCTCTACCATCACAACGCTGCTGGGAGGCATCAAGGTCTGCTTCACAGTGGACTCTCAGCTCCTGAGCAACGTCAACCGCTACACCAGCATGGCCCGGCTGGCCAACAACCTCATCCAGGTCAGACACGCACAGGGGCAACACTCACACTAATATACCTGGTAGACACAGAGTGTGTTTGGAAACAGAAAATTATATATAAATGTGTTGTGTGTCTTGTCTCCAGCTGAATGACTGCAGCATGGTGATCCCAGATGATCCCAAGAAGCCTTATTTCTCCTCGGTCATGCCCTGGATTCTCCTGCACCACATGATCAAGCACGAGGAGGCTGCCTTCAACTGCCTGCTTCGCCAGAACATATCTACAGGGGACGATGACGGTACACTACATGACCAAAAGTATGTGGACACCTGCTCGTCGAACAACTCCATAATCATTGGCATTAATATGGAGTTGGTTCCCCCTTTGCTGCTATAACAGCCTCCACTCTTCTTGGAAGGCTTTCCATTAGATGTTGGAACATTTCTGCGGGGACTTGCTTCCATTCAGCCACAAGAGCATTAGTGAGGTCGGGCACTGATGTCGGCGTTCCAATTCATCCCAAAGGTGTTTGAACCTCAAAGCTCATCACTAAGCTAAGGATCCTGGGACTAAACACCTCCCTCTGCAACTGGATCCTGGACTTCCTGACGGGCCGCCCCCCAGGTGGTAAGGGTAGGTAACAACACATCTGCCACACTGATCCTCAACACGGGGGCCCCTCAGGGGTGCGTGCTCAGTCCCCTCCTGTACTCTCTGTTCACCCATGACTGCATGGCCAGGCACGACTCCAACACCATCATTAAGTTTGCCGACGACACAACAGTGGTAGGCCTGATCACCGACAACGATGAGACAGCCTATAGGGAGGAGGTCAGAGATCTGGCCGTGTGGTGCCAGGACAACAACCTCTCCCTCAACGTGACCAAGACAAAGGAGATGATTGTGGACTACAGGAAAAAAAAGAGGACTGAGCACGCCCCCATTCTCATCGACGGGGCTGTAGTGGAACAGGTTGAGAGCTTCAAGTTCCTTGGTGTCCACATCACCAACGAACTATCATGGTCCAAACACACCAAGACAGTCGTGAAGAGGGCACGACAAAGCCTATTCCCCCTCAGGAGACTAAAAAGATTTGGCATGGGTCCTCAGATCCTCAAAAAATTCTACAGCTGCACCATCGAGAGCATCCTGACTGGTTGCATCACCGCCTGGTATGGCAACTGCTTGGCCTCTGACCGCAAGGCACTACAGAGGGTAGTGCGTACGGCCCAGTACATCACTGGGGCAAAGCTCCCTGCCATCCAGGACCTCTATACCAGGCGGTGTCAGAGGAAGGCCCTCAAAATTGTCAAAGACTCCAGTCACCCTAGTCATAGACTGTTCTCTCTGCTACCGCACGGCAAGCGGTACCGGAGTGCCAAGTCTAGGTCCAAAAGACTTCTCAACAGCTTCTACCCCCAAGCCATAAGACTCCTGAACAGCTAATCATGGCTACCCGGACTATTTGCACTGCCCCCCCACCCCATCCTTTTTACGCTGCTGCTACTCTGTTAAGTATTTATGCATAGTCACTTTAACTCTACCCACATGTACATATTACCTCAACTAGCCGGTGCCCCCGCACATTGACTATGCAACGGTACCCCCCTGTATATATAGCCTCCCTACTGTCACTTTATTCTATTGTATATATAGCCTCCCTACTGTCACTTTATTTTTTACTTCTGCTCTTTTTTTCTCAACACTTTTTTGTTGTTGTTTTATTCTTACTTTTTTGTTTAAAATAAATGCACTGTTGGTTAAGGGCTGTAAGTAAGCATTTCACTGTAATGTCTGCACCTGTTGTATTCGGCGCATGTGACCAATAAAATTTGATTTGATTTGATTTGATGGGGTTGAGGCGCTGTGCAAGCCAGTCAAGTTCTTCCACACCGATCTCAACAAACCATTTCTGTATGAACCTCGCTTTGTGCACAGGGGCATTGATATGCGGAAACAGGAAAGGGCCTTCCCCAAACAGAATCGTCTAGAATGTCATTGTATGCTGTAGCGTTCAGATTTCCCTTCACTGGAGCTAAGGGGCCTAGCCCGAACCATGAAAAACAGCCTCAGACCATTATTCCTCCTCCACCAAACTTTCAGTTGGCACTATGCATTGGGTCAGGTAGCGTTCTCCTGGCATCCGCTAAACCCAGATTCATCCGTCAGACTGCCATATGGTGAAGCGTGTTTCATCACTCCAGAGAATGAGTTTCCACTGCTCCAGAATCCAATGGCGGCGAGCTTTACACCACTCCAGCCGACCCTTGGCATTGCGCATGGTGATCTTAGGCTAGTGTGCGACTGCTCGGCCATGGAAACCCATTTCATGAAGCTTCCGACAAACCGTTCTTGTGCTGATGTTGCTTCCGTAGTGAGTGTTGCAACCGAGGACAGATTATTTTTACGCGCTACATGCTTCAGCACTCGGCAGTTTCCCGTTCTGTGAGCTTGTGTGGACTACCACTACGCGGCTGAGCCGTTGCTGCTCCTAGAAGTTTTAACTTCACACTAACAGCACTTACAGTGGACCGGGGCAGCTCTAGCAGGACAGAAATTTGACGAACTGACTTGTTGGAAAGGTGGCATCCTATGACGGTGCCATGGTGAAAGTTACTGAGCTCTTCAGTAAGGCCATTCTACTGCCAATGTTTGTCTATGGAGATTGCACGGCTGTGTGCTCGATTTTATACACCTGTCAGCAACTGGTGTGGACTGAAATAGCCTAATCAACTCATTTGAAGGGGTGTCCAAATACTTTTGTGTATATATAGCGTATGTGGTGGTGAAGTCCATCCTGTTCATAACTGCTATGATGCCCTGTTTAAATCTATGCTGGAAGCCCTAAAATATGTTGTTGTTTCCTGTGACCTTCTTCAGATTACTCTAACACCCCCATTCTGCCCTCCTCCCTGATGCTGCTCAACACTGCCCATGAATACCTGGGCCACCGCTCCTGGTGCTGCAACTCAGACGGAGCTCTGCTCAGGTTCTATGTGAGTCGGTCAACAGAGCTGAGATTGTGTGGACGTCCTTTGTCAGCTCAGTCAATTCTCTCTGTTTTTGTTTTCCTATGATATGGTTTTAATTCGTTTCTAATGGCTTTTACGTATTTTTCATAGTTTAATCAGGAGAGAACCTTTCCTCAGTGTTGTCTTCATGTTCATGGTTCAGGTTCATGTTCTGGAAAAAGAGGTGTGTCTCTCTAAAGTGGAGGATACCCATCCCTACAAAGAGGAGTTGGAGATGGCCTTGGACCAGTGGTTCTACTGCCTGTACGCCTACCCCAGCAAGAAGAGCAAGGCCTGCTATCTAGAAGAGCACTCTGTTAAACAGGTCAAACACCCAGCCCTCTTAATGTCATATTACTGACTGTCAATCTTTCAATGCCATTCACATTTCTGTTGTCCAATTGTTTTGAGAGGATTAGCTAATGGAGATTGTGTAATGTATTCAACTGGCCACTAGGTGGCTGTCAATTCCACATTAGGTTGTTTACACATGGATTGGCTTGTAGTGTAACTGTGATATGCAGTAATTGCATGATGAATAGACTCTGCTCCAAAGGGACCAGGTTCATTAGTTAATGAATGCAGTCCCCCGACTAATTAACTACTGGTTGGTCATCTGAGTCATACGACCCAGGAACTCCACTAGAACAGGTCAATACATGAGTAAGCAAGCAATTGATTCACTTTCAGGGAGTTTGAGTGAGATTAATTATCTGATTGCCTTTGCATGAGAATGTACCAGCCTGTGCTGTTAGTCCCTTATCATGCTAGAGGGATTCACCAGGGATTTACTTAGGAACAGTTGAATCTTTGGGAAATCTCTTTGGGGGCTAGTTTTAAAAAGTGTGTGTTAGTACTATGATTTCTTTTTAACAGTACAATATAAATGTTTTGCTTATCTTCATAACTAACTGTGTTTTTCGATGGAGAGCAGGTGGAAGTCCTTTGGAGCAACGCCCTCTTCATGTTGCAGTACTTCAAGCCCAAGATTCTGCCTCAGTTTGACAGCTACAAGACGAGCATGGTGTCTGCTGACCTGGCCAACCTGCTGAAGAGGATCTCTGGCATTGTGCCCCACAGTGACACTCCCATCCTCACCATGGATGAGGTGTCAGCCTACATCGAGGGCACGGCCGGGAAGGTCAGTACAGGGCATCCATGAGGTGCAAATGCTAATTGACTGGATGTAGCCTCAGCCTGGCTTTACATGTTGCCATGGAGAACTGTTTAGCAGGGTTGGGGTTAATTCCTTACATTTTATTCTAATTCAATTTCCTCTCCCTGTAAATTCCATTTCATTCAATTTAAATTCCAGGTCACTCTCTGAATTCAGAGAATTTGATTCCAATGTTAGGTAAATTCCAATAATTTAATTCCCAATTCAATATTATACCCAACAATTCCACAAATTCGAATTCAATTCTCTCAGGCTTTCAGGCCGATTATGTCACTGTTCAGATTGCCTAGCTATACTAGAAATATAGAAATACAAGTTGAAATAATTTAAAAACAAATCCTGAGGTCATTTTTTGTGAATTAATTCCATTAACTGTGAATCGTACAAATATTGAATTCCAAAGATTACAATTTCAATTCCAATTCAAACACTCCAAATAGTGCACTGTGTTCTACTTTTCTAAACTTAATGGATGTCACTTCTGGTCATGCTGTGTGTGAATTCATTGTTTAGTACATTGATCTATCTAATAGAGAGAAATCACTGTTGACAGTAGTGGATATAATGTGTCTGTGTGTATTTCAGATGGAGGAGAGGAGAGATACCATGCTGGAGACATCGTCCCAGTGTTTCCAGGGGGCGTCTCATTGTGAGGGGGATAGTGATGAGGAAGAGTGGCTCATTCACTACATGCTGGGGAAGATAGCTGAGAAACGCAAGCAGCCACCCTGGGAATACGTCCAGCTCTACAAACAGGTGCACAGCAGGGGACACTATCTGTAGACTCCAGTGATTCATAGGTCTGCCTTGCAGACTAGATTTATACAGACAGGGGGAGCCCTAGGGCTCAAAGGAGCGGGAATCTTCATGGAGGTCAGTACAGTGGAAGAGGGGGAAGGGGATGTGAGTTATAGGGAAACTGGGAAGTCAGAGGTCAGATGATGCAGCTCTGTCTGTATGTCTTTCCCTGTCACCTTCACTGCTTCTTCACCTTTCCAGACCCAGTACTTCCATTCTATACCTCCATTCTATAGCTTAGATTAGAATCACTATGTATCTGTTTGTTTTTCTGTTTTTCCAGTACATTAAAGGCTGATATTTGACCATTGAAAGATATTGACCATGGCAACCAGTGTTTCATCCAGATGAGGATCTGATGCTCTCTCCTCTCTTTTGCTTCCCATGCAGGCAGCACATAATCTGCACGAGGAGGCTGCCAGATAACCCCAAAAGATACACTACCACAATCACCCTGACTTGGCCATGGAGGTACACATGCTTTAGACCAGAGGGTTTCTAGGTCCAGTCCCCACTGGGCCATTACATACAGTTGTGCTTTTGCACATGAAGCTACCACTTCTGAAAATATAGTTTATGGCTGTATTCATCTAGAATGAATGACATGCAAGTGTCTTTTTTGTGCAATAGTAGATATATATCGAGAGTATACCTCGTGTTATTAAAGCTGTGTGACTCTCTGGCATCTCTCTCCAGCTAGCTGGACATCCGTCTGAGTGCCACTATCCTCAAGCTGCTGGAGGCTGAGGAACCGGACCTGGAGCATGAGATCTTCTTCGACATCCTGGCAGAGGCGGCCACTGAACCCTTCGCCTGGGGGGGAAGAGAAGAGCATGCCCAATTCCAACGAAAAGTGAGGGGCCTCAACCTTTGACTGGGATCTATGCTCTTTCATATGAAGCTCATTCTGTGACTCAGCTACAAATCAAAAGAAAAACATGAAATTCCCCCACTCTGGCCCAACCTTTTGTTTTGTCCCCCTCTCTCTCTCACGTCAGGGAGAAACCCCTTTCCGTGATGGACGAGGACTCTCACTGCTCTGTGTCGTCTGTGTGCGGTGCGATGGATGTTCATGGGGCCTCCCTCCCCTCCAATGCCGTAGGTCTGACATCCCCACCTTATACGGCCACTCCGGTCGACCACGATTACACCAAACGTAAAACCCTCCGGCGGCAGCAGCAGACGTGGCAGCAGCAGTATGAGGGGGAGCAGCAGGCTGATGGTACAGTCCCAGTCCTAGACTCTGGGCCTATGGGGTTGGGCCCTTCCTTCACTGGGCTGGGTAGTAGTGGTGGTGAGAAGGATAATCACTATGATGATAATTGCTCTGGTTCCAGTAATGACCCCATTAGCACTGGGGGATTGGGTTATCATGGTGAAATGGGCAATATGGCATCTCAGGTTATTTGGAAATTGTTTTACTGCACTATAAAAGCAACAGCATTTAGTTTAGGCAAACAGAGGTGTGATGGTAGAGTTTGGCAGAGGGCGAAATTGTGAAAATTATGATAATGCCCTTTTAATGTAAGAGCTGTTTAAAAAGAGCCTGACATTTCAGCCTGTTTCGGTGGCATGGAGTTTTGGCCTGCCAATAAGAAAGAGTTCCAAATCTTTGCCAATAACAGCTAATTTTCAGTTTTCCCCTCCCTATTCAGACCACTCCCAGACAGTCCTAGCAACATTCTTGCTTGAGAAATTGCTCTTTGCTACGAAGCTATTTTTGTTTCTTTTTGACAATTTTAATTGAAAACAATCACAGTAAGATACTTAATTGTTACCCAGAAATGATTTGATATTGAGATAAAAACAGCTGCACTGGACCTTTTTATCTTATGATTTCATCAGGTTTTTCTGAATTTCTTACTAATCTGTCACGCCCTGACTTATGGGACTCTTGTATGCTGAGTCAGGGTGTGGAGATCTATGTTATTATTTCTATGTTCTCATTCTATGTTTGGCCGGGTGTGGTTCCCAATCAGAGGCAGCTGTCGCTCGTTGTCTCTGATTGGGGATCATACTTTAGTAGCCTGTTTGTTATCATTAGTTGTGGGATCTTGTTCCGGGTATAGGCTTGTATTGTGTTTAGCCTGAGGACTTCACTTCACGTTACGTTGTTTTGTTCGTGTGTTTAGTTTATATAATAAACATGTATGAATTTCACGCTGCGCCTTGGTCTGACCCATCCTTCAACGAGCGTGACATAATCAAATAATCATAGCAGGGCAATTATTTCTGAAAATAATGCACGAAAGCTTGCTGGCTATCACGTTAGACTTGGATGTCGATATGTTCTCTGTAAGGTGTGGTGTCTTTTTAAAGGGGGTAATGGCCAGTAAAAGAGAGCTCTGTCCTGGACACAGCAGGCTTTTAGCGTGTTGACTCTAGACCCATGTGACAACCACAGAGCCACAGAGAAGACACAGCCAGGCTTCCATTGAGAGGTTTTACCTGATCCCAGGGAACAGTTGCTGCATTGTCCTGTCAATGACATCTCACTACAGGTTCACTTGAAACGACTGAGCTGAATTGAATATTTTGTCAAACACTGACAGGACACTTGTAGAGGGAGGCAGTTTACTTGTCCAAACTTGTCTTAATATAAATATTATGTGTCAAGGAAAGTTTGGTAGCTATACTGACACTTTTAACTGAGAAGAGGGGGGACAAAGAACTGGTTCTGAAAACTGCCTCTTACTGTGTGTGCAGGTTCATTACTAAACCAAAGTCTAGTGCTTGTTTTGCAGTGCTGCTTGAGTATTACTGATGGCTGGTTTACTAGTGGCAGTAGACCTGTCAGTTGGAACAGTAGGAGGAGGGGAAATGGAGAAGGGGCTGCATTTAGGGTACACATTAATGTTCTGTTTTAAAAGACTAGAGTGGGGTGAATCACTCACCTTGTAAAGAGTCATTTAAATTATTCTACTTTACTAGACCTATACTGTCCAAATACAGACTATATAAGAGCAGTGTTAAAAATCCTTCAGTAAAAGAGAGGTAGCTTTTCTAAATGTATTACCAACACAATATGATATCAGTTAATGCGCTGATGCAACTTTGCTCTACATTTTAACACTTAGCATTGCATGACAACAGTAGTGTGAGGGACACAAGCAGTTTACTCTTAACTCCCAATCGTTGGTGGTGAGCTGATTGTCTCCTTCACCACAGTGTGTACAACTCTGTGCGTCTTTTTAAAATGCACAAAATCTGAGTATGCTAAACCTACGTTTAAATGTACGGACCATTTAAGAGCGTATTTTACAGAGCGGAAGCAATCATGTAAAAATAATGTTATTATTATTTAATTTTTTTTTACGTGTGTGCCAGTTAATACTTGAGGACAGATTTGCATAATATGTTCCTGCAAAAAAGCTGAAATGCACATGTATGAAGCAGTATTCTTAGTAGCTTTTCCCTTGTAGAAACATAGGGCTATATACAGAAATGTACAATTGGTTCCGGTTTCCTTTTCTCCAGTATGTCCCATAATTGAAATTATATTCACAGCAGCATTGTGTATTGTTTACATTGTTGCAAAGACGTCAAGGGTTAAAAACAAATATTTGCCACAAGTGAAACAATATCATTGAATAAATGCTGTTGTAAATATTGAATGTAAACTGACCATTCATTACAAACGGCTTTGCAAAATATCATTGCACTATACCATAAAAACAGCCTTTGGCATTTTGTTTTTCAGTATGCCCTTTTTAGCTTGAATGTCTGAATACTGCAGCCATGTTGCCCATGTTGCCAGTTTCTCTGTCACCCTTTCCAGATTCCTTCCTACTTACCTGCCTACCTACCTGCCTGCTACCTCTCTGCCTGCTTGCTTCTGCCACCTGCTTTGTCATTTATATGCATGTAGATCCCAGGGGAAGAATGCTGTCACTGGACAACTTCAGTCCTCTCACAAACACTCCACTAAATGGTCTGCCGTGTGACTTGGACCATGGGCTACTATTTGACTTGGGTTTGGTGTTGGCTTACATTTGCAACAAAGATCTTAACCTATTTGCTTGTATTTGAAAGTTATGCCATAATTACTGTGTTTTCATTGCAATTGTGTTCAGTTGATATGATGATGATATAATGCCAAATCAGTCAGAACGTGGTTGGCACCTCATTGGCACACATCCTTTGAGCTAGATGGCAGAAATGAACCACCATGTGCAGGCAGGTTTGCCAGTGGGTGCCAAGCCCTTCCTGTTTGATGCCTGTCTGAAACGCATCATGGTAACAGTCAGCAATTACGAGGAGTACTATTGTCAAATCAGGAATGTAGCTTTTTTTTGTGTGTTTTTAAAACAAACTCCTGATATCTTTTAACAGCCACCCCAGAACTTGACCATGATTCCTGCCTTCCCAGGTCTCCAATGTGGCTGGCATCCCTGAATGGTACTGCACTTAAGTCCCTCCCACAAACTGCTCTTAAATCCATATTCAGGACATTAGTGTTATGCACAATTTTAGGGAAACAATTGTTCAATGTAAAGGTGTCCTGAAATGAGTTCCACAATTTTCACAACTTCATCACTACCCCACACTTTTCTTTTAAGGGGCAATCTTTATTACAACACCTCTATCGGCTACATTTTTACATTTGGCTAATTACAGTAGGTCTTTAACAAGTCCCCAGAGCTCCTTTCATAGAACTTTGTTGCCCCCCTGCTAATTTGGTTATTGTCTGCAGAAGACTGCAGCTTCTTGCTGAGGTTGCACAATGTGCTTATTAAGAAGAATGCAGGCACCTATTTTTTCAGTGGCTTCGGTGCTGTGCAAAGGCCTCCCTCAAAGCATGACTAAGGTCTAGTGCTGTTTTATGTTTGTACGATTACTATAATGGCTATCCTGCTGATGATCCTGATGTATATAGAGAATTAACACTACTATACACACTTACCCCATTTCATTCTTTGGGATCCACAAAACTATTTTATTCCTGAATGAAAGCCTTAACAGGTTTGTGATTGATCCCTTGATAACCCAGAGGATGGTCCATGGGTGTGACTGGCACCCAGGCCAGGCTCACAGTTGGCCACATGATCAGTGTTTGTGTTTGACTCCTGGCAGAGTGCAGTCAGGACAGCGTGGTGGTGATGCTGTTGGACAACAACTCCACCCAGGATGCCTTCACAGACCCCGCCAGCTCCCAGGCCAGTAGCCATATTAAGCTTTAGTCTGGGAAGGGCAGTACCTCTTCATCTGAGAACACCACCCCCATCAAGGAGGGCCAGCCTACAGTTAAAGACATAGGTGGGTTTTGTTTTTCCTTTTATCCTGAAATGCACTAATGGAAAAGCATTCTACCCGAACATCAGCTTTAGTATTTCTTAAATAGGATGTTCTTTAGTGATATTGTGGAACTCAATGACTGTTGTGTTTTAGGGAGGGCAGGACATGTTAATGTTTGAAAATCTCTCCTCTTTAAACCCTGAATTCCACACAAAAACAAGGACAGGACTGTAATCTTGCTGGAGGACCAAGAAGTAGTAGACACCATGTCAGTGACAGTACCTAAGGCTGATGCGCTAAAGCCGACCATAGATCCCTGCTCTCATCCACTGCCTGTTCCATCCTAAGGCCTCGTCCACTCACCAGTCTCACCAGGCCACCCCCCAAACCCACATGTATCAGGCCACCCCCCAAACCCACATTTATGGTGGAGGTGCCCAAGGCCCTCCCTGCTGAACGGACTGAGCAGCGGCGCATGCTGGTGGAGATGTGTGTCCGTAGTCTCTTCCTCTGCCTGAGCCGCTTCCCTCAGCACTACAAGAGCCGCTACCGCCTGGCCTTCTTCTACACCAACAGCAAGACCCAACAGGTTAGTTGGTCCACCCTCCCTCCATATAATGCATGGCTCGCTAACATTCATTCACAGAATGTTTTGACAGGAATATTCACACCTACACTTATCATCAGTGGCATTTCCTGCAATTAAATCTGACATTTAAAACCCTCAGATCTGAAACCATGAATCTAGTTTACAGCATTGCCTCAAGTATGGTATGTTGGTATTCAAATAGATGGTGTTTTTCTACAAATTTTATGTCTGCAATTTGTTTGGCTTGGACTCTGACTTCCTCTTATCAATTGTGCCAGTTTGCCTGTGGGACTGTGGGGTTTATGGGATGGTATAGTAGGTGCTGAAACAGCAGAGTGTGCGTTGGACGCAAGGCTCTGTGTGCAGAGGTGTGCGTGGGTGGCAGCAACACAGTGCTCTCTCAGCCAGGTTTGGCACAGCAAGACTGCGTAGTGTCGTGACGCCCTACAGTCAGCACTTTGCCAGTCAGCCCCTCCTGTGGGACTGCTGGTCCCAATTCAGTGAGGTTGGGTTAGCCAATATCCAGGGCAGAGTTTTGGTCATTGATAACAGCGTAGTGAACTGTTGCTTGTCTCTTTATGAACCTTTTGAGACTGTTATGTAGCTCTCCTCAGAGCATGCTTTTCATCTTGAGGTTAGAGGATTCATTCAGTCAGGTAGACTGACCTGGGCCCCTGACTGGCTGTATTTTACTGCGCCAGTGTTTTAGACGTGACAAAAATGGATTAAGAATCTCAAAATCACAAAGCCTGCACCTTTTTAGAAGTGAAAAGGTAAGTCCATAATTGGTTCTGTATTACATTTCCTTTGGAGTTGAATGAAAAACAAGGAATTGAGCTGTTCTGCTAAATTGTCAAGTAACTACCTACTTCTCAAAGTTACAGACCAGTGGCAGCATTGTGGCTGTTCAGGTCTGTAGCCCTCTTGGTTAATAAGTGACAAACCTGTTTGTTTTTCACTACAAATCCTACTTCTCCTGGGGTTTGAATTACAAGCTAATGTTATCGTACATTTCTCCGAGAATACTAGATTCAGGCTATGGGTTAGTGTTGGGCAAATTCCACGGTAACAAAGTGATGCTGATACTCAGAATTTTTTTACTTTACAATCATTGGTTTTTGTTTGGTATACATTTTAAAGTTATAAATCAGAGTCTCAGCATCACCCTGTTACTGTGGAATTGCCCTATTGTAACAGGAATGTGTGGTGGATGGATAGTTGAGAAATTAAATAGCCTAGCTCTGATTTCTTTGTGCAGAACCTTAAACAAATTCAGATGGCTTTTATGAATTTGTCATTAAATATGATCATTTATATCTGTCCACAACACTTGATTTTGGTATGGAACTTAATGTACAAGGCCTTCCCTGCTGAAACAGATACTGTAGATGACTGTTGATCTTTCCTGACAGCTGGTCCAGGAGAGATGCCAAATGCCTGGACCAACTTTATTGCTGTGATACATTATTGAAACATTGAAAATAACACAATATGACGTGGCCCTGTGGGAGAATCGTAGTTGTACTAGGGTGAACCGCTCCCCTCTACTAAAGCCTCTGCACCTCTTTTGCTCCCAGACACAGTTAGGCTAAATCTGCATTGGCTGGGATGGTCAGTGTGAGACTCATTAAGGAAGTCAGGGATTGGCAGGAGGGCCTGTAATCTCAGATCATTTGGCACTGGGTTTTTACAGCTCCACATTTAGTGGCCAGAGTTGGCAAGCTTTTCAAAAAGGGCAGTGGTGGAAATGTCTTGTCTGCGATATGTTCCATGTCTATCTGAATGGCCATTCCTCTGCCTAACCCAACCTCTCCACCATCTAATAAAAACGTCACAGTGCTGATTTAAAAAGGAGCACCCCTTGCATGTCAACAAATTGACTTCAGCTACAGTCACTTTGTACTGTTAAACTACAGTTAATGTCCATCAGAGCAGCTATGACAGGGAACAAGGTAACAGTACAGTGATGTTAGGTACTGTAGTGGATGATGCATCTGAAAATGAGAGATTCAATCAAGCTTGTAGTATGATGTAACATTTTCACATTTTTCTTTGTCTCGTGTTTGTGGTTCATGTGGTCTGCCTCTTGAGGGGCATCCCCCCCATTTTTATGCCCCCCGTTTTCTGATAATTTTGTGTTTTCACAGAATCTGCGGTCGGCACGAGATGTGTTGCTAGGAAGCAGTGTCCCATGGCAACAGCTGAAGCATATGCCAGCACAAGGACTTTTCTGTGAGAGGAACAAGACAAACCTGTTCAATGTAAGTTCCACAGTTCACCAAGCCAGCTCTGCCATCAAGGTTCTGCTACCCTGGCTGGCTCACCTGGCTAACATTACTATGCACCAGTCCTGGTTGTCAGTTTGTTTCTTAATTAAAAAATAATAATAATGAGAGAGAGCTTGGCAAAATCAGGCGGGAGTGAGTTCCAGATCATAGGGCCTCTGTAGGTAATTCAGAATTGAGATTGGAATTCATATGTGGCGGTGAAATAGTTTTTGAAGGAAGGAGGGAATAAGTGATTTGTAAAGAGCCGTAAACAAATTGAGCAACTTGAAGATAATTAATTTGATAAATATTCAGGAGTCCTAATTGTTTGAGAAGTGATGGTTAATGGTCTCTAAAACAGATTGATAGTAGTTTGGTGTGTTCTGGCCCATGTAATGCTAAAGTAACTGATGAATGAGAAGATCATTGTGAAATAGAGACAGAGTAGTGCTCCTGTTTTGAGATATCTAATTTTGCCAAGTATCCACATTTTTGGCGATCTTAGAGGTTATTGTCTATGTGTGGTTTTCATGACAATTCATCATCAATCAAAACACCAAGAAAGTGGGTTGTACAGGCTTGATCAACAGGTATATTGTCAATATGGACCCCTATATAGTCTATTGTTTTTTATGTTCTTTGGACCACATAATACAAAGTAGTTTTTTGAGATTCAGTGACAATTTGTTGATTTTAAACCACTTTGAGAAATTACACAGTTCAACATTAATAAGGTAATTGAGATCTCTGTGAGAGTAAAAATATATACAGTGGGGAGAACAAGTATTTGATACACTGCCGATTTTGCAGGTTTTCCTACTTACAAAGCATGTAGAGGTCTGTAATTTTTATCATAGGTACACTTCAACTGTGAGAGACGGAATCTAAAACAAAAATCCAGAAAATCACATTGTATGATTTTTAAGTAATTAATTTGCATTTTATTGCATGACATAAGTATTTGATACATCAGAAAAGCAGAACTTAATATTTGGTACGGAAACCTTTGTTTGCAATTACAGAGATCATACGTTTCTTGTAGGTCTTGACCAGGTTTGCACACACTGCAGCAGGGATTTTGGCCCACTCCTCCATACAGACCTTCTCCAGATCCTTCAGGTTTCGGGGCTGTCGCTGGGCAATACGGACTTTCAGCTCCCTCCAAAGATGTTCTATTGGGTTCAGGTCTGGAGACTGGCTAGGCCACTCCAGGACCTTGAGATGCTTCTTACGGAGCCACTCCTTAGTTGCCCTGGCTGTGTGTTTCGGGTCGTTGTCATGCTGGAAGACCCAGCCACGACCCATCTTCAATGCTCTTACTGAGGGAAGGAGGTTGTTGGCCAAGATCTCGCGATACATGGCCCCATCCATTCTCCCCTCAATACGGTGCAGTCGTCCTGTCCCCTTTGCAGAAAAGCATCCCCAAAGAATGATGTTTCCATGCTTCACGGTGGGATGGTGTTCTTGGGGTTGTACTCATCCTTCTTCTTCCTCCAAACACGGCAGAGTGGCGCAGTGGTCTAAGGCACTGCATCGCAGTGCTAGCTGTGCCACTAGAGATCCTGGTTCGAATCCAGGCTCTGTCGTAGCCGGCCGCGACCAGGAGACCCATGGGGCGGCGCACAATTGGCCCAGCGTCGTCCAGGGTAGGGGAGGGAATGGCCGGCAGGGGATGTAGCTCAGTTGGTAGAGCATGGCGTTTGCAACGCCAGGGTTGTGGGTTCGATAAAATAATGTATGCGCTAACTGTAAGTCGCTCTGGATAAGAGTGTCTGCTAAATGACAAAAAAAATAAAAAATAAAAAATAGACCAAAAAGCTATATTTTTGTCTCATCCGACCACATGACCTTCTCCCATTCCTCCTCTCGATCATCCAGATGGTCATTGGCAAACTTCAGACGGGCCTGGAAATACGCTGGCTTGAGCAGGGGGACCTTGCAGGATTGAAATCCATGACGGTGTAGTGTGTTACTAATGGTTTTCTTTGAGACTGTGGTCCCAGCTCTCTTCAGGTCATTGACCAGGTCCTGCCGTGTAGTTCTGGGCTGATCTCTCATCTTCCTCATGATCATTGATGCCCCACGAGGT